GATAGGGAAATAGGTCAACACGAAGTCTCCCGGTTTAAATTTCCTTACTTTGCTGTTCTGGTCGTAATGAGTCTTCATCCTCTCCTGGGCTTTCAATAGATTATCCTTAGCAAAGTTATGCACCCTCTCTAGAATGTGTTGTAGGTTTTGAAGAAACTGGGGCACATTCTGATGCTCACTGAAGGTGGCATCACGTAGAGTCTTAAAAAGCTTTGAGAGGAGTATGGCACTTACGTCCGTACAGCATCTCATAAGGAGAGACTCATTGGGAAGACTTCTAAATATACACATAATGAGATCAATTTGTTTATCCCAATCCTTAGAGGTTTCATTGCAAAACTTCTTCAGGAGTGTTTTAATAGTCTGATGACTACGCTCAAGAGAACCCTGTGAAGCAGGATGATAGGGGCTGGACAATACCTGTGTGATGTTGAACTCTTCCAGTGTCCTCTTGAAGAGATCACTGGTGAAGTTTTTGCCACAGTCGCTCTGAACCTCCATTGAAAATCCATACTGGGTGAAGATCTTCAATAAGTGTTTCACCACAGTAGCAGCCGTAATGTTCTTTACTGGAACTGCTATGGGGAATCTGGTGGTAGGACACAGGATGATTAGTATATAGGCGTTGCCAGAACTGGTCCGAGGTAAAGGACCAACACAGTCTATAATAAGTCTGTGGAAAGGTTCCGCAGGCACCTGTATGGGAGTCAGTGGTGCTCTGGGGATAGAGATGTTCGGTTTACCTGCCATCTGACATGTATGACACTGTTTGACGTACTGTTTGACGCTATTTACCATACCTGGCCAGTAGTAGTCTTGACGGATTCCGTGGTAGGTCTTGTTAAAACCGTAGTGCGAAAGTGCTCCGTGGGCCAGGTGTAGAATAGTGGGCCGCAGGCTGGCAGGAATCACTAGTTGTTCGACGTTGGCCCAATCGTCCTCCTCCTTCAGTTTACTGTGTCTGTATCTGCGGTAGAGCAACTCGTTCTCTAGAAGAACCCAGGAATACTGTCAGGTTGAGTCTCAGTCTGGAAGAATAATGGTGTCAAGGTAAGATCTTCCTTCTGTAACTTACGGAACTCCAACGTGGTCAGATTCGGGGGTAGTTTCTGAGGGTCTTGAGGGACAGCGGTAGCAGTAGAGTCAGCTGGCTGTGGTCGTGCAGCTTGTGCACGGGTGGTCACCAAAACCGTAGGAGAAACGTAGGTAAGCGTAGGAAAAACATATAATTTTTTCCCACAACCAAACCATCGCCAGAGAAATCCTAGTAAACAACACAGAAATCATCGATAGATACAGCGATAGCAGGCGGCTTGACGTTTGCGAGGCACTACACATCAAGAAGTCAACACCAGCAATCAACAGCCAATTAATGCACAACTATATTCTACCCACCTCAAGACTCCGCTCCAATATAGAAGCGTCAAGAAATATGGACCAATAGGCTTTCTACAAACACTTCTATTCAATACCCATTGTTTCGTGTTCTGTCTTGTGTTGATGAAATTAATACCCTATTAATGCCACCTCTTGTTCTGTCTTGTGTTGATGAAATTAATACCCTATTAATGCCACCTCTTGTTCTGTCTTGTGTTGATGAAATTAATACCCTATTAATGCCACCTCTTGTTCTGTCTTGTGTTGATGAAATTAATACCCTATTAATGCCACATCACCCCATCCACCTCACTCAAATGTAGATATAAAATCGGAGATGCGTAAGTTCTATTCAGTTGTGTATTTGTAAAGTAAAGTCTTTGAAAATGTAATAAGTTTTACGAAACGCGCTCGTGTCGCGTCAGACTAGAAATAAAAATGAATTTTGGAGAATTGATTTTTGATTTACCTCCAACAGTGAAAAGAAATGTACGAAAGATTGAGAAAATTCGTGTTAGAATTATTAATCTTACTTTTTCGGTCATATTTAATAATATATGTCTACAGGAAAGACTGCTACCAAAATATACTAATATATATATATATATATATATATATATATATGTATATATATATATATATATATATATATACTATATATTATATATATATCTATATATATATATATATATATATATATATATATATATATATATATATATATATATTGTACCTAGTAGCCAGAACGCAGTTCTTGGTCTACTATGCAAGGATCATGTACCCCTGACTGTTGAACTAGGTGCTCAGATAGAATATCCTTCACCAAGTTGTCAGACGCCACTAAAGAGGACAGGAACGCTGGTACAGCAATTTGTGTTGCATATTGCATATAAATATATGCAACACAAATTGCTGTACCAGCGTTCTTGTCCTCTTCAGTGGCGTCTGACAACTTGGTGAAGGAAATCCTACCTCAGCACCTAGTTCAACAATCAGGGGTAAATGATCCCAGCTTCACAGACTGCACCACCAAATGGGTCTCTCGCAGAACCAGCACCCCAACCACCGCCTTCTGAAGCCCATAAGCAATCCAGCTGGGATCGTCCCATTGCCGACCAAGAAGCTGCGACTTTGCTAGAAGCTGCGACAGCACCACATAACACTGTCCGACTTAGAGCTGTAGCAGCTCCTCATGCAGGTGACTTCCTATTAGCAACCCCAATGTCAGCAACCGGCACCCGTCTCACACCGCAGGCCCTCCGAATTGCTGTGGCTCTCCGCCTCGCTGTTCCAGTCCACACCGAATACAGGTGTATTTGCGGCGAGGCAGAAGCCGACAGGTACGGACACATGGCCTTCTCTGCCAAAGGACGGGAGGATGGCATGCAAGACACGGCGAGGTTAACGGCATTATTAAGAGAAGCCTTACCACGGCCGGTTGTCCAGCAGAGAGAGAGAGAGCCCCGTTACCTAATGTCCCGCAACTCTGATGAGCCTGTCGGTCGCCCAGACGGAATCACGGTGAACCCCTGGAAGAATGGTAGACAGTTGGTGTGGGACTACACTTGCGTTTCAACTTTAGCCAACATCTATGTTGCCATCAGTGCTGCACAGGCAGGAGGTGCTGCCAATCACCGGGAAGCAGCCAAGTCACGTAAATACAGAGACCTTGAGCACCACTACAATTTTGTCCCCATTGCCTCAGAGACACTTGGTGCCTGGAGCAAAAGTGCTGCTAGCTTTTTGAAGGAGTTGGGGTCGAAGCTAATTGAAACAACTAGAGACCCTAGAGCTGCCAGTTTTCTCTTTCAGCGCCTTAGTGTGGCGATCCAGAGAGGAAATGCTCACTGCATCCATGGTTCCTGCCCGCCATCTGAGGAGCTGGAGGAGCTATACAACTTGTGACAAGTAGCCTTGTACCCTGCATGTAACCAATGTTGTAACTTTTTTGTGTGTAATGACATTTTCAAATAAAGTTAGATATATATATATATATATATATATATATATATATATATATATATATATATATATATATATATATGTCGTACCTAGTAGCCAGAACTCACTTCTCAGCCTACTATTCAAGGCCCGATTTGCCTAATAAGCCAAGTTTTCCTGAATTAATATATTTACTATAATTTTTTTCTTATGAAATGATAAAGCAAACCTTTTCTCTATGTATGAGGTCAATTTTTTTTATTGGAGTTAAAATTAACGTAGATATATGACCGAACCTAACCAACCCTACCTAACCTAACCTAACCTATATTATAGGTAAGGTTAGGTTAGGTAGCAAAAAAAGCTAGGTTAGGTTAGGTTAGGTAGGTTAGGTAGACGAAAAAACATTAATTCATGAAAACTTGACTTATTAGGCAAATCGGGCCTTGAATAGTAGGCTGAGAAGTGCGTTCTGGCTATTAGTACGACATATATATATATATATATATATATATATATATATATATATATATATATATATATATATACACAAATATCAAAAGAATAGGGGTGGTAGGAGAAGAAAATATAAGTGTTCATTGAGGATTCACAAGGTCTTCTGTGAGTACTCTTTATTTTCTTCTCCGAGGCTATGGGTCCCTACACTTGCACCAGAGGTGGTACCCCTTCTAGGTATATATATATATATATATATATAAACTTAGAAGGGTAGGAGAGAGAGAGAGAGAGAGAGAGAGAGAGAGAGAGAGAGAGAGAGAGAGAGAGAGAGAGAGAGAGAGAGAGAGAGAGAGAGAGAGAGAGAGAGAGAGAGAGAGAGAGAGAGAGAGAGAGAGAGAGAGAGAGAGAGAGAGAGAGAGAGAGAGAGAGAGAGGAGAGAGAGAGAGAGAGAGAAAATTAAAAAAAATGTCTTGAAAATATATTATGCCATCATATTATATAAATAATACCATAGTTTTGGATTAAGCAACCTCGCATTGTTAGTAAATCAATCAAACAATAGACAAATGCGGTGCTATGATACCAATGGTGACCCAATAGTACTGTTGCTTGACCAGAGACCGGTCTCAGCATCAATCATAAATGGCGCCCATATTTTACTAATTACCACCACAGTCACACCTTGGGTGGGATTGATGACCAAGTTCACAGTCTCCTCCGTAACGTGCTCACTCTCGTTTAAATCCCATGCTTTATTTCATCAGTGAAATTACCGTGTTTTTAAAATGCTCATAGAACAGTTACCAAATAAAATGTGAAGTCGCAAAGTTTGTGATACATATGTCAGTAATGTAAGACGAAGTTACACATCGACATTCTCTCATTTTGTAATGCCGCTTTAGATAAATATTTATGGGGGACGATGACAGTATGGGTAGCCATAAGGTGAATGGTAACAGAAGATATGGTAGGTAATGTGTCGGTGGAGAGGTGGACTGAGGGGGCCGAGAGTGGAGGTGGGAGCGGGGCGCCGCAGTCTCCCCTCCCTCGCCGGTTTTCTTTAGTTGCTGCCATCTAGCGGCTGGCGTCGGAAGTCCGCCTGCTTTATTCGCTTCACTCAAGGACGAAAAAATTACAGTGATTTGCCAGGAGTACTTTTGAGTGTGTGAGGCTAGATATGGTGTGAGTGGTGACCAGGAACAATGTACGCATGGTAAGCGGTAGGGTGGGAAGTGTAGTGAGGGTGTGAAGGAGCGGAGGAGGGCAGCGGCGTGAGGCGGGTGTGTGTTGGCTGCCTCCGTCCCCACCACACCACCCAGGACCAGACCTGTATTGATTAGTTACTTTGGGCGGCCCCCCCTCGCACCACCATGTAATGGTGGAAATGCTGCCCCATGGTATGTGCCCGGCAGAGCCCGGGGAATAAAGTGTGGTGGTGGTGGAGGTGGTGGGAGGAGAGAGTGGAGGCAAGACTGGTGGGTGAGGGAGAGGAGTGACGGGTGAGGGGCGGCCATGCGTCCCTCCACTCGCTCTCACCACCTTCTGTCTGCGTCTTGCCCGTCCGCCCCTCAGGTGGCAGGGGCAGGTGGGTAGCAGGGCAGCCCGCTGCCCACGTGTGGCCTGGGCCCCGCGGTGGGTGTCTTGTGTTGGTCCACACCAGCCCTGGGCTCTGGCACCAGTCCTGGCACCAGTCCTGGCACCAGCCCTGGCACCAGCCCTGGCACCAGCCCTGGCACCAGTCCTGGCACCAGCCCTGGCACCAGTCCTGGCACCAGTCCTGGCACCAGACCTGGCACCAGTCCTGGCACCAGCCCTGGCATCAGTCCTGGCACCAGCCCTGGCATCAGTCCTGGCACCAGACCTGGCACCAGCCCTGGCACCAGCCCTGGCACCAGCCCTGGCATCAGTCCTGGGCACTAACACGAGCCCTGGACACTGGCACTAGTGCTGGCCCCATCCATGGCACCAGCCCTGAGCACTAGCACCAGCCCTGGCACCAGTTACCCTGGTGACTGGTGTCTTGCAGTGCAGCTGGCCAGTGTGTGTTCCGTTGTGTGTAGTTTGTGTGTTCGGTGATCTCGCGCTGGAAATATTTTGAGATGAATAAACGAAGCGACAAAAGGCGTGTGATTATCAGTGCATAGTTCCGTACCCAGCTGAAAGTTTGGGGTGTTGTGAGGCGTGCCATCGTGTGTGTGTGTGTGGGCGAGCGGTCGTACGGACGCCCCTGCGCCGGCTGTGTCGTGCCTCGAGAAGTGTCAACCCTGTGCTCTTTGGCAGTTATCACATTGAATAGCATTTTGAAAATAAATTTACCGTCGTTCCGTGTGCCGAGACAGAGCAGCCGTTGACGGTTGCATTCTGGAAAAACTTGCCGGTTCACTCGTGTTGCGGCGACAAGCTTGATCACAGCTTCGTCTTGAATACTTACGCGTTACTACGAAGAGCAGCATAGCCAGTAGTGCAAACAGTGGAGTGGTAATGGTATTGTTTATAATTGACATTATTAGGAGAGTTGTTACTTCTTGGCAGAGAAACTAAGCTTAATGTATGCTAGTATAAATTGAGGCCATAATGTATAGACTTAGTGATTTTGGACTTTTTCCCTTGTAACTAATCTTCACATTAGTGTAAAATTTGCACAGTTGGATAGTATCCAATACGCCGCCAAATCTGGTGAGTGTCTTAGTGAGTGTGGGCTCCCAGGGACACGACGCGTGGACTAGTAGAGGAGCTCCTCCAGTGGCACGTTGGCAACATCTTAAATAAACTGAACTATCAAACAGATGTATCATGACGGCCCACAAGTACAGCAGTGTAGAATTCCAACGGATTAGTACAGACTCTGATGTGACAGTGCCTGCTTGGTGTACAGTATTGTTGGTGTGACAGTACCTGCTGGGTGTATTGTTGGTGTGACAGTACCTGCTGGGTGTATTGTTGGTGTGACAGTACCTGCTGGGTGTATTGTTGGTGTGACAGTACCTGCTGGGTGTTTTGTTGGTGTGACAGTACCTGCTGGGTGTATTGTTGGTGTGACAGTACCTGCTGGGTGTATTGTTGGTGTGACAGTACCTGCTGGGTGTATTGTTGGTGTGACAGTACCTGCTGGGTGTATTGTTGGTGTGACAGTACCTGCTGGGTGTATTGTTGGTGTGACAGTACCTGCTGGGTGTATTGTTGGTGTGACAGTACCTGCTGGGTGTATTGTTGCTGTGACAGTACCTGCTGGGTGTATTGTTGCTGTGACAGTACCTGCTGGGTGTATTGTTGCTGTGACAGTACCTGCTGGGTGTATTGTTGCTGTGACAGTACCTGCTGGGTGTATTGTTGGTGTGACAGTACCTGCTGGGTGTATTGTTGGTGTGACAGTACCTGCTGGGTGTATTGTTGGTGTGACAGTACCTGCTGGGTGTATTGTTGGTGTGACAGTACTTGCTGGGTGTATTGGTGGTGTGACAGTACCTGCTGGGTGTATTGGTGGTGTGACAGTACCTGCTGGGTGTATTGTTGGTGTGACAGTACCTGCTGGGTGTATTGGTGGTGTGACAGTGCCTGCTGGGTGTATTGTTGGTGTGACAGTACCTGCTGGGTGTATTGTTGGTGTGACAGTACCTGCTGGGTGTATTGTTGGTGTGACAGTACCTGCTGGGTGTATTGTTGGTGTGACAGTACCTGCTGGGTGTATTGTTGGTGTGACAGTACCTGCCGGGTGTATTGTTGGTGTGACAGTACCTGCTGGGTGTATTGTTGCTGTGACAGTACTTCCTGGGTGTATTGTTGGTGTGACAGTACCTGCTGGGTGTATTGTTGGTGTGACAGTACCTGCTGGCAGTATTGGTGGTGTGACAGTACCTGCTGGGTGTTTTGTTGGTGTGACAGTACCTGCTGGGTGTATTGTTGGTGTGACAGTACCTGCTGGGTGTATTGTTGCTGTGACAGTACCTGCTGGGTGTATTGCTGGTGTGACAGTACCTGCTGGGTGTATTGTTGGTGTGACAGTACCTGCTGGGTGTATTGTTGGTGTGACAGTACCTGCTGGCAGTATTGGTGGTGTGACAGTACCTGCTGGGTGTTTTGTTGGTGTGACAGTACCTGGTGGGTGTATTGTTGGTGTGACAGTGCTTGCTGGGTGTATTGTTGTTGTGACAGTACCTGCTGGGTGTATTGGTGGTGTGACAGTACCTGCTGGGAGTATTGGTGGTGTGACAGTACCTGCTGGGTGTATTATTGGTGTGACAGTACCTGCTGGGTGTATTATTGGTGTGACAGTACCTGCTGGGTGTATTGTTGGTGTGACAGTACCTGCTGGGTGTATTATTGGTGTGACAGTACCTGCTGGGTGTATTATTGGTGTGACAGTACCTGCTGGGTGTATTGTTGGTGTGATAGTACCTGCTGGCAGTATTGGTGGTGTGACAGTACCTGCTGGGTGTATTAGTGGTGTGACAGTACCTGCTGGGTGTATTGGTGGTGTGACAGTACCTGCTGGGAGTATTGGTGGTGTGACAGTACCTGCTGGGTGTATTGCTGGCGTGACAGTACCTGCTGGGTGTATTGTTGGCGTGACAGTACCTGCTGGGTGTATTGTTGGCGTGACAGTACCTGCTGGGTGTATTGTTGGCGTGACTACCTGCTGGGTGTATTGTTGGCGTGACAGTACCTGCTGGAGGTATTGTTGGCATGACAGTACCTGCTGGGTGTATTGTTGGTGTGACAGTATCTGCTGGGAGTATTGTTGGTGTGACAGTACCTGCTGGGAGTATTGGTGGTGTGACAGTGCCTGCTGGGAGTATTGTTGGTGTGACAGTGCCTGCTGGGAGTATTGTTGGTGTGACAGTGCCTGCTGGGAGTATTGTTGGTGTGACAGTGCCTGCTGGGTGTATTGGTGTGACAGTACCTGCTGGGTGTATTGGTGGTGTGACAGTACCTGCTGGGTGTATTGGTGGTGTGACAGTACCTGCTGGGTGTATTGGTGGTGTGACAGTACCTGCTGGGTGTATTGGTGGTGTGACAGTACCTGCTGGGTGTATTGGTGGTGTGACAGTACCTGCTGGGTGTATTGGTGGTGTGACAGTACCTGCTGGGGGTATTGGTGGTGTGACAGTACCTGCTGGGGGTATTGTTGGTGTGACAGTACCTGCTGGGGGTATTGTTGGTGTGACAGTACCTGCTGGGGGTATTGTTGGTGTGACAGTACCTGCTGGGGGTATTGTTGGTGTGACAGTACCTGCTGGGGGTATTGTTGGTGTGACAGTACCTGCTGGGGGTATTGTTGGCGTGACAGTACCTGCTGGCGGTATTGTTGGCGTGACAGTACCTGCTGAGTGTATTGTTGGCGTGACTACCTGCTGGGGTTATTGTTGGCGTGACAGTACCTGCTGGGTGTATTGTAGGCGTGACAGTACCTGCTGGGAGTATTGGTGGTGTGACAGTACCTGCTGGGAGTATTGGTGGTGTGACAAAACCTGCTGGGGGTATTGGTGGCGTGACAGTACCTGCTGGGGTTATTGTTGGCGTGACAGTACCTGCTGGGGGTATTGTTGGTGTGACAGTACCTGCTGGGAGTATTGTTGGTGTGACAGTACCTGCTGGGGGTATTGTTGGTGTGACAGTACCTGCTGGGTGTATTGTTGGTGTGACAGTACCTGCTGGGGGTATTGTTGGTGTGACAGTACCTGCTGGGGGTATTGTTGGTGTGACAGTACCTGCTGGGGGTATTGGTGGTGTGACAGTACCTGCTGGGGGTATTGGTGGTGTGACAGTACCTGCTGGGGGTATTGTTGGTGTGACAGTACCTGCTGGGGGTATTGTTGGTGTGACAGTACCTGCTGGGGGTATTGTTGGTGTGACAGTACCTGCTGGGGGTATTGTTGGTGTGACAGTACCTGCTGGGGGTACTGTTGGTGTGACAGTACCTGCTGGGGGTACTGTTGGTGTGACAGTACCTGCTGGGGGTACTGTTGGTGTGACAGTACCTGCTGGGGGTACTGGTGGTGTGACAGTACCTGCTGGGAGCATTGATACCTGCTTGATGGGGTTCTGGGAGTTGTTCTACTCCCCAAGCCCGGCCCGAGGCCAGGTTTGACTTGAGAGTTTGGTCCACAAGGCTGTTGGTTGGAGCAGCCCGCAGGCCCTGCATACCTTGAGGTTATCTTGAGGTGCTTCCGTGGCTCAGGTCCCCGTGGCCCGGTCGTCGACCAGGCCTCCTGGTTGCTGGACTGATCAATCAGGCTGTAGGACGCGGCTGCTCGCAGCCTGACGTACGAGTCGCAGCCCGGTTGATCTGGTATCTTTTAGAGGTGCTTATCCAGTTCTCTCTTGAACACTATGAGGGGTCTGCTATACCCACCACAGCCCGTTTGGTCCGGCACTCCTTGGAGGAAACAATCTAGTT